ATGTTGCTGCGAACGATGGCACTCATTTCTTTTTTTTTTTTCAATGAATGAAATAGATGGCCAAGGATCAAAAGACCACCAAGCGCTCGACTCTTGCTGATGTCGTGACCCGCGAATACACCATCCACATGCACAAGCATGTCTTTGGCCGGTAAAAATACCGCGAGCCTGTCGTTTGCCTCTTTGCTGATATTCTTTTCTTGCGACTTTCCAGTGCTCTCCGCAAGCGCGCTCCTCAAGCTGTCAAGGCTGTCAAGGAATTCGCTACCAAGACCATGGGTACCTCTGATGTGCGCTTGGATCCCGCCTTGAACAAGGCTTTGTGGTCCCGTGGTGTCAAGCACATTGACCACCGCATCCGCGTCCGCATTGCCCGTAAGCGTAACGATGACGAAGATGCCAAGGAAAAGCTCTACTCCTATGTCACCTACGTCCCCGTTGCCTCTTTCAAGGGTAAAAAAAAAAAAAAAAAGCGAACGGACAGAACGTTTTAGGCTCACTCTTTTCTTTCCTTACAGGTCTTGAAACCGCTGTTGTCGACGACGAATAAATAAGGACGCCTTTTTTTGCTTCATTGACAAAGGACATCAATAAATTCAAAAAAAAGTAAAATTTTAAGAATGGAAGTGGTGCATGAATGGCATCATCAAAAAAAAAGCCCCTGTGGGGAAAAAAAAAGCGGAAAGAAACGGGGCCATCTTTTTTCTTCTTTTTCTTTTTCTTTTTTGCTCATCATGGCCATGGAGCAAAAGCAAAAACCATATAGCCAGCGCACCCTATACAAACTGTATGGATTTGATGCCGTTGCTGCAGCCTGTTCTTCTGTGCTGGTGTCTCCCTTTATTGCCATTGTTGACAGGTAGAACAAAAGGAAGAACCCGCTCGGTTTGCTTGACAGCATCTTTTTTTTTGCACAACAGATCCATCATTGAAAACACCAATGGCAAACGCACATTGTCCGAAGGATTCAAATATGGGGCCCGACAGCTGATCATGGAGCCTCATCGGTTCTTCTTCTCCAAACAGTTTGGCCTTGTCAGCGGCCTGTACTTTAGCACTTATATGACCGCCAACGTGATCGAAACCACCGCTGAATATCACGGGATCGACAGCAGCCGCACCTCCATGCTCAAATTCATCGGCACCACCTCCGTCAACATGTCGCTCTGTATCTTCAAGGATCGCTCGTTTACCCAGATGTTTGGTACCGCCGCCGCCCGCCGTTTGCCTGTGCTGTCCTACCTCTTATTTGCCCTACGTGACTCATTGACCGTCGCTGCCAGCTTCAATGCCCCCATCTACTTTTCGCACTACCTCCAAGGCAAATGCGCCTCGTTGAAGGAAAAGCCAGACTCGGCTCTCGTTGTTGCCCAGCTCGCCTGCCCCGCCGCCGTTCAGTTCATCAGCACCCCCCTGCATCTCATCGCCTTAGATCTCTACAACCGCCCCACTGCTTCTCCCAAAGAACGTCAACTCCTCGTCAAGCAGCAATACCTCAAGAGCACCTTCGCCCGCATCGGCCGCATCGGCCCCGGTAAGTCCAGGTCAGCCGAAAAATCCCACCTCATCCTTTTTCTTCTTCATAGCGTTTGGCTTTGGCGGCATTGGCAATACATATGTCCGAAGCTACCGTTCCATGTTTTTGAATGCATAAACCCCTCTCTCTATTTATTTCATTCTCATTAAAGCCTCATTTTTTTTATGGATAACCCACGCTGGACGATTTTGATATGCCGCTTTTTTTTTTTTTTTTTGTTCTTTCTCTTCCCCCCCTTTTTTTTTTCTCTCCATCATGGCATCTCCAGATCATGAACCGATGGAGCCTGATGCCACCGCAGAATCCAAGCATAACATGGAAATAGACACGCATCCTCTGGTAGATCAGTCCCATGGCATCGATCGTCGTGATGCTGTCCGCCCCACTCAGAAAAACTTTTTCTTGTCAAGAGACGCCTTCGAAAACTATTCGATGGATCGATTTTCCCTCATTGCCGGATCCTTTGTCCCTGCTGAAGATCCTCCAGTGACCGCAATCTCTCCACCTGCCGACCGAGATCCATCCTCACCCACCGGCGATCCATCTCCACCTGCGATCCAAAAGCCAGCCCAGCCTCTCCTCAACACCTTGCTCGCCTCCATGTCAAGCACCTCCCGATCATCGACAAAAGCCCCCGATGCATCGGCCCACCTCTCCGATCTGGACGTTGCCATGCAGGCTGCTGTCTCTTCTATCAAATCCTCCCGCTTTAAGTGGCGCGACCATACTCGCTTCAAAACCATTGGCGAAAACATGCAAAACCCTGTAATTACCTCTTTCCTTCTAGCCTCTCCACACTCACTACTTTTCCCCCATGTCAGGATTGTTTGGTGGTGCCAGCTGACAAGAAGTTTTATACCAAAATGCTGGCATCCTTGCGCAGCGAAAAAGACGAGTTCATCAAGGATCAAAAGGATACCATGCTGGCCTCTGGCATCTATGACACTTTACACGACGCCGTCAATACTCTCTTCAACGTACTTTTTTTTCCGCACAACTGCATCTTTTTTTTTCTGACGCCTTCTTCTCTCATGTCTAGGCATACATCGATGTCGAACAACATCGACCTTGGACCTACCCAGTAAAGCTGCCCGATACCAACACACGCACCTGTGACTCACCTTTTCTGCCTAGGCACGCTTCCAGCAAGCTCGACGCATCCCCCTCAAAGACCTCCCCTCCAGCAAAAAAGTCATCCTTTCGTTTAAAAAAACACTCTCAAGACAGGTAAAATCAAAGAATCCCATTTTGATTCACCTGACCATTTTTTTTTCAGGGCATGTGCGCTCCTTTGGACATCCCAACTACTCCCAGTGCTATCGACATGACCAAACATTATCTCCAGCCCTCCATCCCTTCCACTCCAGTCTCCTACTACCAAAAAAAGGTAAGCACCGACACCACGCCACGCAATGCGGCTCCTTATCTCTTTTTGTCTACTCTAGATACCTCCTTCACTGTCTATCGACAGCGTCGTCGAATCAGCCGTGCTTCAGTCACCTGTTCAAATTGTTGCTACGGTCGAGAGCCTTTTACCCCTTGTGACACTTCCATCCAGCCTTGCCACCGGTTTTTATATCCCACTCCGCGTCATGCAGCATGAGAACCAACCCTCCAACACCTTGTATTTCGACACCCCTCTACCGATCAATCGATCATGGTCAGCTCGTGAACGCAACCAACTCTATTTCAACATGGCCTGCAAATCCCAGCTGCTCGACTGGCCCCGTGCCTCCCGCTTTGACCCCCCTACCAAACAACCCGCCGAAAACACAGGTAAACCCGACAATAGGCAACAAATATACAAAACAGTGCCTCTGACCTACCATTTTTGTATGACAGACCTTGTTGCCAGTAACGATCCCGACTCTGAAAATCTCGTGTACAATTACTGGACCTTTGGCGACATGACTCTCTTGCTCCGCCATCAGATTGACGGCTACTTGGTAAGGCTGGTAGAGCGTTGGACTGGTGCTCACTTTTTTTTTTTTTTTATGGGGTAGGAGAGCAACAATGAGAAACGCTATTGCCTTGTCAGCGCCAAGCTGGACTACCAATTAGACCATGACCGGGAAGAAATCAGCACAGCACAAGAACGGTCTAACCACTGGCTACGATCATTCCTGGCCGGTCATGCCACGCTTCTTGAAGCCCGTGTGGACGTGCCAAACAACCGCATCACCCGCGTTGACCAGAAACAAATGCGCGACATCATGGGCGATAAGTGGCAGCCCCTTCAAGAAAGTGAGCTCTTACGCTTCCTCTTTACCGAGCTCCACAGGTAAACTCAGAACACCAAAGTATGCCTCGTCCGCCCATCTCACCGCTGGTTTTTTTTTTTTTTTTTTTCAACTCTTGGAATAGGGATTTGGAGCCCGGGCAATATATTTTGGAACATAAACCAGGGCAACAACTCATCACTATCCACAAGGAAGCCGCAGAGGACACAATAGAAAGCGACATTTCTCTAGATCTGCATTCTCTTGGCACCACCACTCTTGCTGACGCCGATGACGCTTTTATACCTGCTTGGCAAACCAAATCCACGGCCTACCAAGTCCCCTGGACTTTCCCTCCAAAATGACACATCTTCCCTCTGTTCCTTCTTATCGAGTCCATGACCCTGCTGTGAAAGAAAAAGGATCTTCCTGCAACCAACCAAATAAAAACGAGCAAAATCTCACCTCTGCCCATGTTGCTGGCGGTGGTTAAATCCGGATTTTATGGGCTGGCGCTTTTTCTAGAGTCGTTTACATACTGGAGCCATTGTCCTGTGATATTGCCATTGCAAACTGCTACCATTTTTTTAAAATTTTAGCAGGATAGAAAAGGGTGGACAGCCAATGAATTTGTTTTTTGGCAGGGGCACTTTCAGAAAATAAAAACGACTCCAGGAACAAAAAAAAACAGCTTTAAAATCCGACTCCTCTTAAGCAGCTCGCCCATCACCATCTCACATCTATACATCAAGATCTTTTATTTTTATCTTCTTTTAAGCCATGCTACGAGATGTGATCAGCATTCAGTTTGCTCTTTCAATTCACGTTAATAGTGATGCCATTACAGCACACGATTATCGCGCTTGACAAAAATAGCCAAAAAAAAAAAAAAAAAAGATTACCTTCTTTCATTTTCTCTGTCATTCTCGATTCACTTCCTCTCCTTCCCCTGCACTTGAAATGTCCAATTTTTTTATGCTGCCTCGCAGACGGTTCGGTGTTTTTCCAACGTACAAAAAATGTCAGAACCACATATCTTGGATTTCTGGTGCTGGCACATGTCGGGCTAGAGTTGTTCACGCTAGCTATTAAAAATCACAATTGAAGGTGGTAAAGAGAATGAAAGTAGCCTGCGAATTGAATGGAAAGAAGAACGTTTTTAGCCAATCGGCATCTGGGTATATTGTTTCGCCGAATGCCGATATTTCCTTTTTCAGATATTTCAAGGACCGATAACAGTAGCCGTAGATGTGTCCGAGTGGTCTAAGGAGCCAGGTTTAGGCCCTGGTCACGAAAGTGGCGCGAGTTCGAACCTCGTCATCTACAATTTTTTTGCTTTCTGGAAAAAGATCAGTTTTTGCTATGTTTTCCTATTTTTTTTACAGTGTTAGCATATAGAGACTCCCGTAGATACTGTTAACAAATGAACTATACAAGACGTTTCAGAAATTTTGTGGATAATGAGGTTACACAAGTCTCGAAATTGTCCAATGAAGTGCATTTTCTGTTTTTGGAAGACCCATCCATTGGCATGCTTGCTTTATTATTGCAGAGAATCCCAGACATCATTTGACGACTGCCAGGTAGTTCTCTGAGCTGTGAAAAAAAAAGACTGGCGAAACAAGCGGACAAAATGCTTTTGTGCGGGTGAAATCTTCCCTCAGCTGTCTGGGAGAGCTGCAATTTTAATCATTGTCATTTCTCTCCATTTGTACTGGTATGAAAAATGGGGTGTGAATCGACTTGACTGTGATTTTTTGATCTGATCACCAGGAGGTAATTGGAGGTGTCAAAACGAAGCTGGTCACAAGTTGACAGGGCAACCTTCTCCAATCAACCTGCTTTTTTCAGCACCACCATCACTCATGCATTTGCCCACCTATGCAAAATTTCACATCGATCTAACAATTCATGTTGTGCAGTGATTTACTTTTTTTTTTTCATTGATTCCCCTATTCAATCTCCGACCGGTGCCTGCGATACCTGGCTGGTGCGCGCAGGACAATCCCAAAACAATTCGAAGGTCCAACTTTCTCCAAAGCAATCCAAAAGTCCCGATTTGATGAAGAATACCATCACGACCTTGATCATGTTGTGCATGACGATGGCACCAGCTTTCGCTGTAACCAATTATTATGTGTGCATCAGCCAGGCATCGCAGGCACTGGTCGGAGACTGAGTGTGGGAATCAATGAAAAAAAAAAAAAAAAAAAAAAGTAATCACTGCACAACATGAATAGTTAGATCGATGTGAAATTTTGCATAGGTGGGCAAATGGTGGTGCTGAAAAAAGCAGGTTGATTGGAGAAAGTCGCCCTGTCAACTTGTGACCAGCTTCGCTTTGACACCTCTAATTTGCTAGCTAAAAAAAAATGAAAATCGGTCATTTTCGCGAGGGATCCCGCTTGACGAGTATTCTAAACATCATTCTCCTCATCTTTAAATGGACAAAAACAAAAGCAGTGGCACTCGAAAAGGCAGATTTATTTTGGCACACTAGCGAAAAATCTAGAGTTTGCTATTGTTGGTGCCGGCGAGGGAGATGACAAGGTCGGCAGCGTCGACGAGGTCGTTTGGGTGGGCAGCGATGTCGGAGACACAGCCGTGGATGGGACTTTTGACGACGGTTTCCATTTTCATGGCGGTGATGACAAAGAGCTGTTGCCCAGGCTGGACGAGGTCACCTTGTTGGACATTGATTTCGACAAGCATGCCGGTCAGGGGGGCGCCAACGTGTCCAGGGTCTTGGGGGTTTGCCTTTGAGCGGAGGCCGGAGCCGGTGGCGGCTCGGCGGGCGAGGGTGAGGGAAAAGGCAGGGTGGTCAGGTAGCGTGGATTGTACGTGGCCGGAAAATTCGTCTGGAAATCGGTTGGTTTGGATGGTGTCGATTTGAAAGGTATGGGCAGAGCGGCGATTGTTGTCATTGGTGAGGGTGACGTTGAAAGCATCGCCGGGTTTGAACTGCATCAGCGTGTTGGTGGGTGCAGTGCCATGAATTTCGTTTTGCCATAGGTGCTGGGTGAGAGCTTGACGACGTTGGGTCCATGGTAGGCTGGCTTGGATCAAGCGCTCCATGCTACTCTCCAATGCGTGAGTGTGGCTCAAGTGCAGGTCTGGGGTCAAGTAGTCGCGGTCGAGCACAAGTGCGGTCAGGAAGTCAAGGTTGGTGTCGACGCCGGTAATGATCGTGTTTTTCAGGGCGTGGGCGATCTTTGCCAAGGCATCGTCCAACGAACGACCGGTGACAATGATCTTGGCCAGCAACGAGTCAAAGGTCTACCAGGATAAAAAAAAAAGAATGGTCAACACGGCGGTCATGAGTGGCTGTGAAGGGGATGGTTACGGGGTGGACGGAGGTGCCAGGTTGGATCCAGGTGTCGACACGCAGACCAAAGGTGCTCGTGGTGGGAAAGGAAGCGTGGGTGATCTGACCAACAGAGAGCATGTGGTTGTTGGAGGGTGATTCGGCGACGACACGGGCTTGGATGGCAACGAGCCTGCTTGATTGAGCAAATTGGTAGATGGCGTCTTGAGAGGGAATAAGCTGGGGCAGGTGTTGGCCAAGGGCGATGAGGATTTGGGTTTGGACGAGGTCGATTTGGGTGATCTGCTCGGTGACGGTGTGCTCGACCTGGATACGGGGGTTGATTTCCAAAAAGTAAAACTGGTCTTGGGTGACAAGGAACTCGACTGTACCGACGGAGTTGTAGCTGATGTGGCGGGCCAATTTCAGAGCAGCTTGGTGGATGGATGTGCGCAGGGCATCAGGTAAAAACGAAGGGGCGATCTAAGCGAAAGAGATTGGTTATGGCTGCTTCCTGGCTTTTGAAAGGTTACCTCAAGGACCTTTTGGTAGCGACGTTGGATGGAGCAGTCGCGTTCTAGGAGGTGGAGGACATGGCCATGGTGGTCAGCAACGATTTGAACTTCAATGTGCTTGGCGTCGACGATGGCTTTTTCCAGAAAGACTTGCTTGGAGGGTGATTCATTCATGCAGCGCTGAAATGCCTGGTTGACTTGATCGGGTTGATGCACGAGGCGGATGCCACGACCGCCACCGCCGTCACGAGCTTTGAGCATGATGGGGTAACCGTGTTTGGCAGCAAAGGCATGGATTTGATCAGTGGATTCGAGGGACGATGCTGTACCGGGGATGACAGAGACACCTGCTGCCTGGGCCTGTTGGCGGGCAGATACCTTGTCGCCGACGGCTAGGATGCATTCGGGGGAGGGGCCAATAAAGCGAATGTTGTTCTGTGCGCATTGGCGGCTGAGCTGGTCTGATTCCGATAGAAACCCATAGCCAGGGTGAATCATGGTAGCCTCGACGCTATGGGAAGGGTTAAGTGTGGTGTGCTGGGAAATGAATGCTTTACCTTTTCGCAATGTCGATGATGTGTTGAACGTTTAAAAAAGACGCGGCAGAAGAGAGCTGGACAGACTGATCGGCATGAGCGCAATGAGAAGTGTCTTGGGCTGAGTAGACTGCAACGGTTTGGTAGCCAAGTTGGGAAGCTGCCGTTAACACACGGATGGCAATTTCACCTCGATTGGCAACAAGGATCTTTTGGGGCTGGTTCATGAACTCGTTGGGTATGAAAAAAGTAGGAAAAGGAAAAAGAGAAGCGGCCATATAAAAAATTCAGGTTGTGTGAAAAAAAAAAAGGGGGGATAATTTTGCTGACAGCGTGTGGGAAGCCAGGCAAGAATTATGCGAGCAAGAGGAGTTGGAGGGCTGTTCGTAGTAAATCATGACAACCAAAGATGATGACTTCTAAAAGACCGAGTACACGACCAAACTGATAGGTGACGTAGATAATGGCAAAGAGAAACAGGACGGTGACGGCCAGTATGCCATTCAGTTGGTACGTTTCCAATCGATCCAGCAGGTGTCCTTTGTGAATGACGGTAGTTTTGGTCCGAGGCCATTTTTTAAACGTTAGGAGTTTGCTTGGGGTGCGTCGTTGTGGCCATAGCCTGATTGTCCAGCGCCGGAACCATCTCGCAATCATAATGAGACAAAAAAAAGGACAAAGAAAAAAGAGGGGAGACCGCTTTTTCTGTTGGTGCCCTTTTGTTGACAGTGCGGCCGAATTTGGAAACCCACTTTTTTTTTTTTTTTTGATTCAGCCTGCTCATCGTTTCTTTTTAAAATCACGGGTGAAAGCCCTGGCTTTGCAGTCTCTCCCTTCTGTCCTCTTCCTGGTCTTCTTTCCATTGACGCTGACATTTTGTGAAACATCACCGCCAAAGAGAGCGGAGCCAATGGCTGGAAAAAAGGATGTCGGCCAGATCAATTCCGTTTTCCCCCCCTTTTTTTTCCCCTTCCACTCTTGAGCCTGTGTTTGACGTTAAAGATTTGAATACCCCCCCCTTTGTACATCACGGTGATACTACACTTACAGCATGACGAAAACACACTTGATGAAGCGACTTCTGGCTCTATTTAAAAAAACCCACGAAGATGAAAACAAAGACGGCTACCCTGCCGACTTGCTTGCTAGGTACGATGTTACCGAAACAACCTTGGGTGTGGGCTCGTTTGCTGTTGTCAAGGAGTGCATCCGTCGATCCACGAAGAAGCACTATGCATTGAAAATCATTATGAAAAAAGTCATTGCAGGTAAGGCTCTCTTTATAAAGATTGTATATAAACGAACTGATGAAAATATTCCATGAAACCGATAGGCAAAGAGCACATGCTAGACAGTGAGCTTGGTAAGACTGATGCGGCAAACAAAACCAGGAGCCTCATGTTGTTTTAAATAGATATCCTCAAGCAGGTGCATCACAAGAATATCGTTTCCATGTATGATATCTATGAATCGACAGAGGCCATCTATATCGTGACTTGTCTTGCTACGGGTGGCGAATTGTTTCAGCAGTTACTGGACAAGGGCAGTTACACCGAGCGTGATGCAGCTCGCCTTGTTGGTCAGCTCCTCGAAGGGCTAGTGTATTTGCATGACTTGGATGTAAGCCCTCTTGATCACCTTCACAAACCGCTGCTTACTCTTTTCCACTCTTTTAGATCGTGCACAGGTAACTAAAGGGAGTGCTTCTATGGCATGGGACGGTTAGCTGACCTTTTCCTTTTTTGAACGATTGATAGAGATATCAAGCCTGAAAATGTAACGCTTTTTTTTTTTTTTTTCAATTCACCCACCCTTCTCTTTCTTGACCTGTCTATCCTCTCTAGCTTTTGTTTGAATCCAAAGCTGCCGAAGCTCCTTTGCTGATCACGGGTAAAAAGGCGTCTGTCCTTGTGTGTCGTTAACATTTTCATTTCATTGGTAGATTTCGGCCTATCCAAGATCTTGAAAAAT